GCTCGAGAGACTAAAATAATTATTACCTATTTAATTCGCGTTTTTAAATTCTTATTCCTTGACCAATTTTTTATTTTTTCATGCTGATTTGAAGGCCATTAAAGCATTTGAACCAGTCAAAAAAGTTTAAGTTGTATATCTTTTACGGTTTTTGCCGAAAGTCGTGTTAAAGTTTATGCCGTGGTATCAGTAAAATGGTACAGATATACATATACATATATATTATATATATATATACATATATATATCGTCTCGCTTTATAGTTTATATATAGTAAGATATTCGGATGTTTGGATCATCGTTTCAAGTCGACAAGACATAATTCGATGTTTTTCAAGAAGCTCAGATTAGCAAACAAAATTGTGGTCCGGTTTCTTTAGTTTTACGGTGTAGCAAACGGTTCAGGCGTTTCCTAGTATCCAGTTGGACATTGATCCGGTTTGAATTATACCATCACATTTCTCGGCCATCATCATTAAATGTTTTCGAATATCCTCCCGATAAACGTCAAAACCTGCATCCTTGTCAATTACCTCGCTGATGATTTCTTTAGCATCCTTTGAACAAGTTATGTCAATTGCACTATCAATCTTATTCATCCGGATCAAAACGTCTAGTATTTTCTCATCAGAAAGAGATTGCCGATGTTGTGGACCAGCCCTGTACACCATGACAACTAAACTAAACAGGTGAATTACCTCATTTCCAAGACCTGCAAGGGCCAAATATAGTGGAGCGATCCGTAGATCAGTATTTTTAAATTGTTCGCCTCTTATTGACATCATGTAGAATAAGACTGCGAAGGTCCCTGTAGCTGCCGCCTGCAGCAGAGAAGGTAAGATCTGTAATGTGAACTTAATGGAACGTGCGTATGGAAGATATGGTTCACATGAAGATATATCCCACATGAAGTTCCGTTGTAGAAGAAAATAATCTACATAAAAACCCATTGAAACAAACCAATCTTTGACAAAGTGGACCAGTATATAACGAACACGTGACCCGACGTGTTCGATGTTCTTCAGAGAAGTTTTCAGACTGCACCATTTAACGATCTGCAGTCCCAACATCCTGACACAAAAGAAGTTAGCCATCACGTAGAGAAAGAGGAGCCATGCTACTTTGGTCTCAAAATAACAGCTTGTTTTGGATTGCGATCTGATAACTTTCAGTGCTGTTGAGAGGAAACATGGTCCGGATGTGATCTCTTGAGAGAAGTCGTGATTCACCAGGACCATGAGGAACATAACTCGGAGAACCATACTTGCAATAGCAGTTGAGTGAACCACAAACAACAACCATGTTTGAGGGTAAAGTGCCTTCCAGCCTTTCCCAATCGAGCTGAAACTAAAGTGTTCAAGTTTAAGCTCAAACCTGATAAACTCATATGCAGTACATGACCGAGTAAGGGAAATCACAGTTATCAAAAAAGATAGAAGTCTCGAGTAATACAAAAAATCATTCACTTCACCAACAGGGGACAAATAATCAGGAGCTGAATTTAAGATTTGTAGGACAAGTTTCTGTTATGACAGCGAAATACATCCGTATCAATTGGTGTCTAATGTTGCTGCACTTCCTTGATCTACATTTTTTTCTGTTATAACTTTGACATATTCCATCATATTTCATGTCTGCATGGTCTATGATAAATTTCTTCCAAATGAGGTACTGCGTCGAGGACATTGTGAAGAGAGCTAATATACTTCTCCATGACCATTTCTGTCGGAAATATTCGGGATTGTCCGCACGTTGTCTGTATGATATCGTGGTGAAGGGTATCAAGATACCAACTACTATCAGAACAATCACAGACAGTGACCCTAAAACATATTTCCTGTCTCTAAACATACCAACAGCAGTTACCACATCAGTTACTGTATCAAGGTAATTGAATAAACACAGGACTATAAGCGATATCTTAGTTGTCAAGGGTAGAAGTGCACATTTGTGTGAACTGTGAAGTTCTCGTTTTCACAAGCGGGGTTTTGCCGGGGTCTTCCGCTGCGTTGTTCCAGTAGGACTCCATGTTGTTCTCTTCGGTGTCATTTTGAAGTTTTAGATGTGTTTCCACGGCTGCAATTCTTTTTACTAATTCTAACTTAGTTTTCACCGTATCCTGCTTCAGTGAGATCTCACTTCGCATATCGGACAGACATGTCATAATATCGGAGAGATCTTCTTGAATAAACGGCTTGAGATTGTCATTGTGTGCAGCAAGAATGTTTTCTGGACTTTTATCGTCAGTCGGTGAGACGTCCTCCGGAAATGATAGTCCTCCTTTTTTACTTGTAGATAACGTCTTTTCTGTTCCATCTGAATCGTTAAATGTAGTTTCAGTTGATGAAGGTTCCATTTTTGCATTGACGTTAACTGCTGGTTCCAACTCCATACCTTATTTATAAACGTAGAAAATATTTGTGTTAAGTCGAGCGACGAGCTATTAAAATAAAAAACTAAAATAGCAAAATAGACATCACAAATTTAGAGTAGCAGGCATATTATGATTCATAAGTATATTAATGTGGTCATTGCGACCATTTTCCAACATCGGAAACGTTTCTGCGATCTTAGTAGCTTGAGATATAAAATAATGTGGTATTTTTGGCCGCGATGAGCCAAAAAACAGTTCTTCATGAATACCTTAAAAACTAAGCACTTAAGACCTTATATTGCTTTATAACTTGTATAAAAATAAGACTATTGCGGTTATATATTAAGCTAAGATTCAAGTCCATTCAAGTGCTTCAGAAGCCGAGATACAAAAATCCCAAATTTACGCCTGAGGGCAATTTAGAAATTTTGCCCGTAGGACTGGGACTAGCGATACAAATTGGGTACCTAGATGATTTTGTTTTGGAATGACCTAATGGAAGACCCTGTGTGGTCAAAAATTGTGAACATTGAAGTGCACACTCAACTACAGTCTACACTCTGCTACTCTAATAAAAAGATAAAGTACAGTCGGACCTCTACCATATTGTATTATTATTATATATGCGGCAGAGGGGATTGAGGGACCAATATCAGCGTAGTATGACGACATCTCTCGCCAAAACAGTGGCGTAACGAAGGGCCCCGCTGACCCTGCTGTGCGGGGGGGGGGAGGCGCCAAATCGTCGTTTGAATGTGGGAAAATTCGGAAAAACTTGACTACGGCACTAGCAAAACTGCGCGTTTGCTCTAGAAACACACTTTTTTAGAGATTTTACCGGCGTATCCTCTAAAATCATCTAATTTGTTCGATTTTAGGGAGGGACGCCAAAAGGGCAGGGGGCGAACAGGCAGCGTTATGTCACTGCGCTAATACAGAAAATATTGACGGGAAATCAAATCCTTGACTCACTTTCAAGTTTCAATCTTTCCCACAGAATTTTTTGTACAATTAACAACAAGGGGATCGATCACGTGACTAAAAAAAGTTGCCGGCTACACTGCAAGACCTGAACTTTGAGTACTTGATAAATGGTAATACGAGAACTTTACGGATTATGGAATCTTCTGTTCATCTGTAAAGAAGAAATTATGGCACTTATTTCTCTTTTTCATACTGAAATTTCATCGAAAAATTATCTCAAGTACATAGATTGCGAGGAACCCTGAGTGTGCACTTCCAATCTACTTGAGATCTTTTTTCTTACTATCTTTCTATAAAACTTTACTTACCTGTCAAATATGGATCGGCGTCTGAGACGTTTCTGAGCACCGCTAATGACTTACGAGGTGTTGTGTTGAAGTAGCTGATGTACTGATAACACATTATTACCAATATCAGTTACTACCAGATATGAATCATACTGAAAGGCTTTTACATGACTTGCAGTTGCGCACTATCTACATCCTATTGCAGCATATCTATTTTTACCACTACTGGTCACAAATATTAACCTGCTCATTCCGAAAGCAACAACTTTCGGAACACGTCATTTGCCATTCGCACAATGTTAATATAAACATTGGTCACCTTTGTAACACTACCATACCCGGACTTTTCGTATTGTATAAGCTCTGTTATATATTTTGAGTTCTTGGAAATATTTTGTTGAACAGATTAAATATTCAGTCGACTTTAAATTCTAAACAGAAGTTGCTAACAGACAACAGCATTTATTTTCTGCTGACATCATGATTTGTTTTTCTTCTTGTTTAAGCTTGAAGTTACAATACTTTAGATAATGCCTGAATATCTGGGTGGAGCTGCCAACCAATGGCACATCCACAATGTTGGCAAAAATCCACAAATCAAGCTCGGTGACGGGTGGAATAAAAGGTTGGTGGAAAATGAGGACGCCCAAAACTGGAAAATATGCGAAGAAGGGATCAACGTTTTGGATGATTTGAAGAAAAAAGGTAGAAACATCCCTAATTATGTGCCTCTGCGCAAGGCAATCGTAGAGCTACGAGATCAGCACAACAAGCCTGAGGTGGGTGGGAAACGAAAAGGTGATATCGCTCTGTGGTCTAAGGAGGCCCAAGAAATGGCACAGGCTCATATCAACTCTTCTGTGTTTCAGAAATGGCTCAAAGATAATAAGGATCGTGGTTCTTGGTGATCTGTTTATTTGACAGTGGTAAATGAATATATTCGGACAAAAGTTTGGTGTTTATTAATATGATTATGTTTGAAGACTTTTAACTGTTTTTTATATTTTGAACCTTTTTTTTTGAGAAAATTGACGGATTACAAAATGTGTTACTATACTACTATACCATACATGTATACTTGGTTTATGTATACATGGTTTATGATACAATTAAAATTGTAGCGCAATCATTGTCTTTTTTATTTGCCAAAAGTACATACATTTTTTATTTTTAAAGTTTCGCTAATAAAAACTCGCTAATAAAACACTCAAACAGTTAATTCATTTTCGTAGTCCATTGCAGAACATTATATAATGTTCTGCAATGGACTACGAAAATGAATTAACTGATTGAGTGTTTGTCCATATTATCAAATTTTAATAATTGAGTCATCGTTAACAACAGAAAAAACTCACAAGAGCATGCATGAGGATGGAGCCCAGTGCTTTCTCATCTTTGCTCGCGGAATCCGAATTTAGAAGTTTCTCAGCAAAGTCGGGTCTGTTCCAGCCAAGTGCCACCTGAACGCCTGATAACTGGATATTACCTGCATTCGTTGCTTCATCTGACATGTTCTGGGATAGTTTGGTCTAACCTTTTTTAGAATAAAAAACTACGTAGTCTACCTAATATAAGTTCATCCAAGCCCTCCTCGTATATGTAAATTCGAAATACAGCTGAATGATTCTAAATGTACCTGTGCTTTGACAAGAGCCTCCAGTAACGCCGTATCAAGCCCATCGTAATGTTCATCCTCCATATCGAAGAGAATTAGGAAGTCCCTATATGTTGTTACCATCTCTTTTATTCGGAGTTTAAAACTTGGATTTTGTCTCTGAAACATGAGTTTGTTACAATACCATAATACCATAATACCTTGGCTACTGGGTGCTGCGCGCGATAATGCACGAAACTTGTTGAGGGCGAGTGCGCCGCACAAAATTAAGCTAAGGTATTGTTGTATTCCCCAGAGAACATTATAATACCCGAGAACATTATGATTGTGAGTTTTGTCAACAGTGCAGTGTATACTAACCAACAGCTAGTACCCATCCCAAGTTAGAACTGCTGTTTAAAATGATATGTTTTCTTATGTTTCCCATCAATAGATTCGATCAATCAATAACATTTTTAAATCGAACTTAAATAAAATCAAAACTTACTGCCTCTTTCGTCAAGCCCGCGTTTATCATCAAGCCCACAACCTCAGGACAGGAAAAGGACACACCGTCCCTAGCTGAGCACGTGCAGCTCGTTTCAGATTCCTCGGGTGATACCGTGCTGTTTCGGCGCAGCTTTGTTTTGTTCTGGAGCTTTCTACTGAAGTTATGTAGCTGCTTGTCCGGCAGATTTTCCTGGGAGGATAATGTTAGGTATTGGTTACGGGAGCCCAGGGCACGGTGATATGTTGATATCATGATTTATTAGCTTTCAGTGAAAAAAACTTTGCTTTGGATCAAGGATTAGAGAACTTTAAAGCTTACTTTGATGAGAGTTCAAGTGGATCTCACGTGATATTTGTAGCAGTAAATTTGTTCGTCGAAAGCCAGATGAAAAAGACATAAACGTCAAAAGTGAGTTAGAAAGGCTAGGTAACAGCAGAAACTAGGTGGAAATTATAGAAAACTCCCAAACAATTAACTCACTAATACTCCGTTTTGAACCAATGTCCATAACTGGTGAGTTTACCAAATGATAATATATCCCAATATAATACTGTTTCTAAAGCCCTAATTTTCTTGTTTCCAAATTCCAATAATAATACGAACATTTTTTAATAAATAAAATTGATAAAAGATCATTTGTCTCGTAGAAAAATGCACATAATCGGCTGAAATTCGATACGACTTAATTAAAATTCCATCACCTACCAAAGAGTCGTGATGCCGGATAAGATCCACCAGCAAATCGCAAACACCTCCGGAACCGTACACAATGACTGACGTGGTCCCTGATTTGACGGCCTCGTGTAAATGTCGGGCCACGCCCAGTCCACCTTGGATAACCACCTGTACCACTGGAATCTGGGGAAACGGATTTAATCGTAGGTGGGGAAATCGAGGAATTTTGCCAACAAAATCAAGAATTATATCAACGTTGACGGGGAATTACATTATAGGTATAGACATTAAAACGTTTATCGCTTGATAGAGTGAAGACGTAAAAAGTATAGATTGTGGAAATGGTGACTCACGTGCATGACATTTTTAAGATAAGCTTCCAGTTGTGTCCTCATAAAACTCTCGCTACCCCAGTCCGTCACAGCCCCTGTGTCACTGATGATGAAGTGAGAGTGGTCACCGTTCAGGTTCTCTCTTGATGAACCTGGTTCTATCTGAAATCACAAATTTGCTAACTCACAATCGTGGAGATCATTGATTTGCAACATTACCTTTTCTACTTTAATATAGATCGTAGATGAAGTAATATGATGAATATAATATATAAAATGTGTTTTTTAAGTTATAAAAAATGAGATAACCTCAAGTTTAGGATATCTGCACTGATAAACATCCCTCTTGACAGACTGCTCCTTCACAACCAGTGTCTCCTGCACATTATCCGGCAAACACCCCCACGACGGGAACCCTATACACGGTACACTATGATTGTGCGCTCTCAGAGCATCTCCTACTGATATCACGTGACTGAAATGTATTCAGTGGTAATTTTCTTTTGAGGAATTATCGCTATGGTCACAATTAATAAAATGATGAATATTGACATATTCCTATGGTGAGATTTGTATGTTATGTTTAGGACTAGTGTAGCAGCAGTGTCTTGGTTTGTTATCTTACCCAGCATTGAAACCAGCAGTAGTGATCCAACCATTAGTTGTTATTGCAGCCTTTATCATGCCACGCTGTATGATCTTCTCAATTTTAGGTGACACAGTAAACCCCATTAGCGATCCAACCACCGACAATATCACGCCTGATAAGCACATATTTATGGTATATTATTTTCTGGACAAACGTTACGATATGTAAATGGGGTATGATTCACTTATCCTCCCATCATCAGTGAATAGATATTGGAAATGAAATGGTAAACAAAATGACCATCTAACCTGGGGTCTGTAGACTGTAGACTTGTGTGAGTAGTTCAAATATGTCAGATACCGGAGTATCTGAGTCTAACCTCACGTACTTTGCTCTTCTCTCCGAACCAAAAGATATCCTGCCATACGCATCTGGAAAAGTTATCTATTTCACAACTGAACCTGCATTTCTTTAACAAAACTCTGGCAAGCATTCATTAAATACGTACTCAGAATATACCATTACCCATTCCAGCCTTTAGCAGAACTGCGTATCTTAAAAGGCTCTCCCCATCCCCTAAAGTTAGGCGATGCTTTTAAGAAGATCAACGCGGGTGGAGAAGACGTTCGTGCCCCTTTTACGACTATGTATATTATATATGTTGCCACGAACCTGTCACACTGAGTTTGGTATGTTTCCTAAAATCCCACGTTCCCCGGTCTTCTTCCTCTTTTTTGTGGGAACCGTGACACATGTCGTTAATACTTCGACCACAACCACATATGTTCTCGTCTGAAAGTAAACCAGTTAAAATATCCCAAGATTAAAATGCTGGAAAATTGTACTATTAGACAGGGGTGGTTTTGTGGTCTCCGAAATCTGAGGTTTAAAACTTGTTCTACCCTAGCTTGATTGTTCTTGATAATTACCTTTAGTAGTTGGTATTCCTACACTGCAGAGTCTTTTTCTGTAACGGGTATAGTCGACTTTCTCCACCCCCTACAAATACAGTAACGTTCACCATTCAAGTTAACAATTCAAGTTAACAATTCAAGTTAACAATTCAAGTTAACAATTCAAGTTAACAATTCAAGTTAACAATTCAAGTTAACAGTTCAAGTTAACAATTCAAGTTAACAATTCAAATTAACAAGATTTAAACCTGTCCGTGAAAATATCTCTCTCCTATTTTAAACAATTTCAAAGCAATGACTAGGTCGTACCTCTTTTTCTGCCTGTTTAAAGATTTGCCTCTTTCTGTTATTCCGGAATATGTCCTTGTTCTGCATGTATTTCCTGAACTTGTCACCCTCCAGATCTGACTCCTGTCTTTGGAGGTACAGGGAGGTGATGTTTCTACCATCATCCAAACCCTCCTGGGGTGAACGATCTTTATTAGAAAATGTAATGTCTACTTTTACGCACATTGGTTGTGTCAAGTTTGCATTGGTTAATTGTTAATTGTGTCATCATGAGGCTAATAACTTACAAAACCTAAAACTACTGCAAATTTACAAATTCACAAGGTCAAATTAGGATTGTAACTCAATATACCCTAACTATAACCAACCTGGCTTGCTCGTGTGTCAGAGGTGACAGCAGATTCTGTATCAATATGATGAACACGTGACTTCATCATGAGTTCCACCGTCAACTCTTCCTCATCTGCTGAGAGGTCTGACATGGTGAAAATGTAGTTGGAGATCACCGAGACTGGTTAAAGTACGGTTTTTCGGTCAAATGGCCGTCAAAAACGGCTCCAATGAAATACAAGTTATATGGTAGAAGTGTGGGGAACTGGTTGTGGTTTGAGTGTGGCGGAAACATGGTGTTTTGATTGCGTGTTTGTTTGAGTGTACTATTGGAGCACAGGATGCTGATTTGTAATGTATGATAAATGGAGAGTAGATTAGGGTCTTGTATATAATACTACAATTCTATGCCCCATGAAATTTTGCTGTCATTAGGAATAAATAATCTAAATTTTTAATTTTCAGGTACAACCCGGACGAGGAATGTGAAAAAATTGACGAAGAAATCAAAACAAGACCGAAACCTAGTGCCCCGAAATCCGCACCTAAAACAACTGTCAACCCGGAAGGTATTTAAAAATAAAAAGTAGCGTTTATATGCAGAAGTAAAATATTTTATACTTGAATAAGATGCCATACCAAGCTTATATCATTAATCTACTCTATGTCAACACAAAGGGCAAAGTTATAACACCAGATGGGGATACCGAGCCTATTTGATATCATGGCGGGTTCTATAAGGGATACGTTAGTACCATACTTGTTCATTATTGCCCTAGACTATTGCATGAGACAAGCCTTCAGCAAGCACCCTGAAATATGATTTACCATCAAGCCATATAGGAGTAGGAGAGTCAAGGCGGAGAAGTCAGAAGATATCAGACACTGGTTTTGCGGATGACATTGCTCTGATAGCAGATACTGTAAAGGAGGCAGAGACGCTGATGCAAGAGGTAGAAAGGGTTGCTGCTACAGTGGGACTTAGAATGAATGAAGGGAAAACCAAATTCATCACTCAGAACATCGAGAATCCTGATACCATCAAGTCCCTGGGTAACAGCACAATAGAGCATGTGGAAGACTTCACTTACCTGGGTTCTAGAATCAGAGACAGTGAGAGTGATATCAGGGTTAGGAAAGGAAGAGCATGGGGAACATACCACACACTCAAAATCTTTGGAATTCTAAGCTTAGGAAGTCTATTAACTTTAAGATCAGAGTGTTTACAGCACTAGTCGAGTCGGTGCTTTTGTACGGTTCCGAGACTTTGACTATGACGGAAAGGCTAGAGAAGATGGTTGATGGTTGCTATACGCGAATGTTAAGAATGGCCCTTAACACCAATCAATATCGAGATCATGTCAGCAACCACAGCCTGTACGGTGATCTTCCCAAAGTCAGCTCCAAGATAACCCAACAAAGGCTCAGACTTGCAGGTCATGCTCACCGACATCCGGAGCTGACGCCTGACACTGAACAAACTGATCCTCTGGAAGCCGAGTCATGGGCATACTAACAGGGGGCGACCTTACTTAACACTGCACTACTAGATAACCTATAAGCAGATACTGGGCTGAAGTCAGTAGATGAGATAGCTAGACTGATGGAGGACAGAAAGCTGTGGAGAACTGTTGTCAATGGATCTCGGGAACACTACCCGCCTTAAGTCAAGTCAAGCTAATGTTATGTAAGAGTTATCTGGTATATAACAAATTATCACACTATCACACCCACTATCGCACTTTCTTTGTTTTATTGACCACTGTACCTGATCTTCTAATTTAAAGTTGCGTTATTCCTCCTTTAATTCTTAGTAACAGTTGGAAACTAACTGTGAATACTTTAATAAAAAATGAAACTTTTAGCCGAAGAATACTTTGGGCCTGAAAGTAGCCAAGAATTTTTGCATATTTGTACTTTGGGGACTGGTATCGGTTCCAAAAACGCAGTTTGAAATTGCAAGTATAAATTGTTAACTTTTCTACGAACGTGTACTTAATGATATTTATCGCAAGTTCAACGGATTGTCAAACAGAGCTAATTAGCAAAGTCTGCATCGTTCACTGTGTAAATAAGTTAACATCCTGTTTACTACTAATTTTACTTTACTTTTAACGCTATACTTTACTAAAGAGAGTCTACAAGGCGGTACAAAGAACTATTATACAATTGTACAGTTTGTTATCCTACAGATACTGGTACACATTGAAGTGTGATCTCAGATCTGTAATGGTGCCCTAGCAACTACACACTCAGCTTTTACGTCACCATGTATAATTTACTCCTATCGAAGATTCATGAAATTCATTTTATCTCTAAGGAACAAAAAGTATATGTACAGGGTGGGCCAAAAGCCATTGTGCAAACGTTTGGTCTTATACCTCCGCCGTGTTTTATATCTGAGAGCTGTTGCTTTGCAGATGGCATACTGTACCTTCTTGTTCGAGGATCCAGTCGCCAAAATTTGAAAACTCGAATATTTTAGACCACGCCCATTCAATATTAAAACACCTATATTGTTCTCTCTGAACATGCTCTGGACGTCTAATTTTTTCAGAGACGGTAGATTATTAAATGTTGCATCTGATCTGAAAAAAATTAGGCAAAATGAAATAGAAATGACGAGGTTATCAAGCATTTTGTGTATCTTGTTAACAAAATTGACTGGGTGACACGAAAAAATTGACCGTGACACGACACCTTAATTGGGCAGCCTTAACGATTCCCGTTATGTTTAACTGGGTGGTTAACGGTTTATTTTTTCGATTTGACAAAAAAACTGGGTGATTATGTGACACCGTAACACGACACGTACACCTTAATTGGGCAGCCTTGACGACTCCCGTAATGTTTAACGGGGTGGTTATTGGTTAACGGGTTTTTTTTCTTCGATTTGACAAATTCCTCTAACCAGTGGTGGTAGTACGTCATACCGGAAAAAATTATTTCAATTGGGCACTCAGTGACTGAGCTATTAAGGTCAACGTTTGCAGACTGACTTTTGGCCCACCCTGTATATTGTATCTGCACGAGTTAAAAGTAAATCTGCAGATATAACTACAAAATATGCTCAACAAAACAATTCGATATGAACAACTCCACTTCAAAATAGTTCTACAATCAGAAGTGCGGCGCATCCTCAAAAATGAAACATGACTTGTGCCTATTTAGTATTTATAGCATCAGTAAAATTAAGGGAAGATGCAAGTCTGCATGAGCCATGTAATGTACGAAAAGTTTCAAAAAAGTCATCCCTTGATTCTTCAAATAACACTTGAAAACATGCTTATTACTTTTCTAAACATTTTAAAGTTTGCTCATCTCTTTGGAGTTTGGATTATGCACTTTTTAAATGTAAAGCGATAACATTGATAGAAAATCGGAAATAAACTGCGACCTATAATGATATGTTTGTAACCCTTGTAAAAATTATGTAGTTTTCTTGCACGTCGATAACAATTTGATCGATGATATACAATATAATATGCATACATGGGTCATAAAGAATGCAATGAATACATTATCTAAAACTGGAAACTATGCATTTCTCACTACTCAGACAACCAGAAACATACTGCAAGGAGCAAAGCTATTGCAAATAGTCTGAACTCCACAATGTGGAATCCACATCCTATGGCGTGTATTGGGCGGTAGCTAAGCATACAGTTGAAATCTATGAATAATTTCGTCACCATAGCAACACTGGCACAAACGACACCTTCCCTACATCGCCACCCGAGGATTTAATTGTATCACTTTCCCACCATTTACTATTAACTAGTCTACCATCAAACACCATCCCATATCACTATTCACCATCACATAAACGTTTATTGTGTTAAATAATGAGTGTAAAAACTGAAGAGAGTTGTTTGCGTAAATATTCAGTTATGAGCCGGCATTATTTTTAATATGATTATGTTTAAGATTGCTCATATTTAATAAACCTGCTTCAAAGCCATTACGGGTGGCCCTCGGATCTTTCAATCAATAAAATCAATCAAACCCCTCGAATAAGATAAGAAATTCTAATACTATAATCTGCGTCTGCGTCTGGCGCATAAGCGGTATAAGATATATTATGCATTATGCAGTCTGAAGTTAATCGGAATTGAAGCAAGGTCTGTCAAATAAGAGGGACGGTTCAATTTATACAACAAATAAGCGAACAAATTCGCATCATAAAGAGGCGAGAGATTTATTTTTGATGCGGTTGATAGAATTAAATTTTCATATTGATGAGATACAGTCAAACCTCTCTATACCGGGCCTCTATACCAGGCCTCTTTCTTTCTCAAGAATTTAACTTAATTAACTCCAATCGCATCACAATACAACACAATACATGCGTAATACAATGCGTGCATATACAGTCACTTGTCCACACACACACACACACACACACACACACACACACACACACACACACACACACACACACACACACACACACACACACACACACACACACACACACACACACACACACACACACACACACACACACACACACACACACACACACACACAACCTAATAAAGTACGTTTCCCCAGCTCTGACAGATGAAGCAGCGAAAGAGAGAGCGAGCGAGATGGAGAAGAACAAGGGAAATGAGGCGTTCAAAGCTGGGGACTTTGAGGAGAGTATCAACTACTACACCAACAGTATAGATATATTCCCTTCCACAGCTACCTACAACAACAGAGGCCTCGCCAGTAAGTAGGGGGTCAGTGAGGGGGAGGGAGGGGGTTCAGCGACTATTCTACTATGTACCAAGTTTATTGAACCTATCTGTTAACTGTTAACATCCGAAAACTCCCGACAACTCCCTAGTATAGTTACGCTGCGAGTTGTGAATGCAAATCTGGTTTTGCTATCTAGACCACTATCTAACGATTGTCTAACTCTAACGATAGATAACAACAACATACTTTTAGTAAAAAAGCTGAATTATTCTTTCTCTTACTAGAGATCAGGTTAGAAAGGTTTTACAAAGCGCTGGAAGATTTCAACTGGGTGCTGGACAAGGAGCCGGATAACGTGAAGGCGTTGCTGCGCCGCGCAGACACCCACGAGAAGATCGGACAGATAAAAGAGGCACACGCAGACCTCCAGCGGAGTGTGATTGTGGATGAGAACAATAAACGAGCCAAGGTTAGTCGGGATTTATTTCATGAAACTGATTGCTTTAAAAAACGTGGGATAAACTGAAAGTTGTAATTAATAAACAATGTGATGGGATAAACCCAATTTTACATTGTATGTCATGAAATCATGCATTCTTCATGATGATTGCTTATGAAAGAGGGAAAAAAACATTTATTATTGTTTTTACGTTGTTCAATAAAACATTCATTAGTATTTTTACGACGTGCAATAAACTGCGACTCATAATCAATGAACATAATAGAAATTAGTCTGACAAAAAGTGGAGTCGGCTTATAGCTTATAGTTAGTGTTACCTATTAGGAAATTACGTCTGATAATAAACTGGGTAATGGGTAATGCTGGTGACACGATATATACGTGGTTTTGATTATCTCTCGACCATGATTTCTAGTAATTTCAGGTATTCTAGTCATTGTATTTATCTCCTTGATTTCTCTTGGAGAATTTCTCTTTAGACTCTTAACTTGCGAACAAATTGAAGCAGCAAACTTTAGGCTAGAAACTTTATTGAATTGAAATAATCATTCCACGTAACAACGTCTTCTTCAGTTCTGTAATAAAATTGTTAAACATGTGTAAAAATTAACGACGGAAAGAAATTTAAAATAACATTAAAACAAAAACAGAGAAATAAAATTTACGAAATATGACCCAAAAATGTAATTGCAAAAAATGTCAAAACAACAAAAAATACGACAAGAAGAAATGTAAGCTGATACAACTAAATACTGTACTACTCATGATACTAAACTAATTAGTAAACGTAAAACTGGTTGTTCAGAATTCACAGTTCATGTGTAAAAACTAATGATAAAATCAGCACTTAAGCAACGATAACTCGGTTGTCATGGTTACTATCCAAGATAGTCCTATCAATACATTATTTACTAGTTAAACATCGACTAAATATTTGTACAAATAACTCAACTCAGAACGATCATTCATTTCAGGACTTAATCTCAATATATACATCGCTTCTACAATCTTTCTACGAACAGTTTTACTCTGTAAATCAAGTAACTTAAAAGATAAAACTGGGGTTCGGTTAGGATGTAGAGATGCGTAGTGCTGTCCAACCCCATTCTCTGGATGTGCTCTAGGATTCCTAGCAGCCTGTCTGTGCTCCATCAGACGAGCATGGAGGCTTCTCTCAGTTTCCCCACAGTATCTCTTACCACATAACTCGCAAGTAACTAAGTAAATAGCTCCTTTTGTTGAGCATGTTGTTCCTGTGAGTCTAGGGCAGATCTCACAATTGTTAGGGTTACCAAGGTCACAAGTCTTCTTATCCAGTGGACGAGAGCGGCAGAAGATGTCCTGTAACTTCTTACCAGGTGTAAAAATAACTCTGATGGGGAGTTTGTTAGATTTGATGTAGTTGCGAATCTTATTACAAACTGTTCCAGAGATGAATGGTAAGGTGAGTGGGACAGAGTCAGGTGTGGTTTATCTCCGTTATATATATAATATTCATTTCCGCCATCCTCAATTAAACATCATCAAACAACACGATATGCTTACGTGATATAGATTCCACCATTCGGCTTATCTTTTGTAGCTGTGTAAGATTGTAATGAATTACGCAAATAGAATACTAATATCTATAGAATCAATTCCGCCTACTCGCCAACGTGCAATTATAGTAACAAAAAATATAATTGCTCCTCTAATTTGTAATTAAAGGGATTAATTGTACTCCTAAATAACAAGAGTTCTGAACTTGAACATCCGGAATTCACAAGAATCCAGCCCTTTTTTAACAACACAAGATATTAAAAACACGCTACTAATACAAACATGTCATTGTCAACCTTCAAATAAATAGCTGTAAACTAAATAAGCTGTTACGTAAACAAGCTGTAAATTAAGGAATGTAAGGTGGAATCTGCTTTCTAACCGAGTGAAATGAGGTTAGACCAATAGGCGATTCAGACCTAGCTATCACAGGAATGTATCTATGTATCACAGGAATGTATCTATGTATCACAGGAATGTACCTAGGTATCATAGCAAGAAGAAATAATAAGCAGAAATGTAAACTTGTGATACGATAATACAACAAAAACAACTATTACTAGGAACGAAAATATGATACCAATTTCTTACTTGAATTGTGTCTAAATAAATGTGTTCCTCTCAGTGCAGCAGCTGCTCATCATTCGATCTGTACATTTCCTGCATAGTTCGATCAAACGGTAAACACGCTATACATTATTTCATGTGGTTGTAAATAGAACGTGCCTGCCTTCAACCTGATATTGGTATGATGGTAAGATTATACCAAGAATAGGATAAGGCTAAAGGTGGCTATCGCCAGGGTTATCGGGTTTCTAGATGTCTTGTTGCTCTTGATGTTATGTATGTACATGCTTTCCCGATAGAAAATAAGAAATCAGCACTTAAATTTATCTGCTAATCCATTCTTTCTTAAACTTTTCATAAACCTGAACATAAGCCAGGAGACCGGCGTTATTCGCGATCTAAGTGCCAACTCTGTCGAAAGTGGGCGACTGAATATTTTATTAATTGTTTGGCAAATCAGTCATTAAAACTGTAAGAATTAGCAACGTCTTACTTACGTTATACGAGAAACATTTCAAATATTTACCAAATGATAAGAAACACCTTTGAGAGTAATTTTGCGACAGTATTTGAGACATAATTGCGTAGGATTACTGACTCAGTGTATTATTTCCTCGTTATCCTGATCAACTAGAACAATTACTCGAATTATGGCCGTTTTTCTAACTCTCCTATTGTACACGACTTGGTAATTTGGTAACTTATTTTGATCCACCGTCTGTTTAATCCGTGTTGTATTCAGCAATTATTGGAGGTGTTCGTGGAACGAAACAAGAAGCTGCTAGCTAAAGGAGGGAAGAGGATGAAGATTATCGAGAGCAGTTCTGATGAGGAAGAGGAAGAGAGAAGTAAAGTTTCCCCTCCTGGAAAGCAAACAAAACTTTCGTCAGAATCTCGTAAGTCTGTTGTTAGCTGCTATGCATGAACCTTTATTTTTCATCACAGGCATTTATTTGGTAAGTTGTTAGTTGTTACTGTATTAGTTTGAATCATTGTGTGTGTACTGGGTAATACATTGTACAAATTCAAGATATAAAACTAGGCCGGAAGACCTTGTTGATCAAACATACCCACAATTTCAGAGAGCCCCGCTAAGATCCCCTGTACTCGACCCGACCCCACACCTGCACAACCTGCACCTGAACCGGTTACACCTGCTTCTGAACCGGTCAACACACCTTCTAAACCTGCTACTCCTGAAACAGTGGTGAATGAGACGGAGGTGGTGTTGGAGATGAAGGAGGGGACTCCTCCTAAACCACAGAGACAGATTATCCACATACTTCCACTTCCTGAAAAGGTAAAGTTGTGAGAACTCCTTGATACTTGTTTTGAGAATCTTGTTTTTACTTTTTAGTGCACTTTTCACAGTGCAAAATGTATTTTTGTTCTTTATTTCGTGTGGTCAATACTCTATACTGCCACAGCAATGAAGCTGCAAATATTGCGACCTTCTCAAGTTTCATAACAAACCGTAATTGCCATGTTAGTTTTCAATATTAAGTTACAGAGCTAGAAAAATATAGTAATTACTTGATAAGCAAGATTTGTTGAGATCTAATACTCTTCAACAATACAAATGGTTTCCACTCAGCTTCATCTCGATAAGAGCATAGCATGCATTTAGTGCTCAGAAATTACATTTCCCGAAGTAATGTACTACTTGCAATGTACAGTGTACATGCTGACAAATTAGACTTTAAATCAGTCGATGTGCTCAATCTCGATCCTACCGCAAATATAACCAAGCTAATTTGAAACTACATTTTTTTCTGAAATCACTTACACGAAACCTTCTTTTCTTACTGGAAAATGAACTGTCAGTTTTACAGGTCAGTTGCGTGTCTCATATCAAACACAAGGAAACATTTACTCTCGAATATATAGTCAGATTTTGTGCATTTACTTGCATACTTACCTGATGTCGAGGTTAAAACCGATCTTCTAGGGTTTTCCTCCGGGCGGAGTCTTTCCATTGCACAACGGTTAGATGAAATCTGCAGTTAGGACAAATCGTCTTACTCTGGGCATAGAATTTATGCTAGCGGGTGCTGCGGAAACGCGGCACCTTCCCTTACTAACTTGACTAAAATAACGAAAGTTCTCCTTGCTAATGTTGCACATCATATCTTATATTTTCCTGACAGAATAAATGAATGTGTCAGGGGTGAAAACTGAATTAAAGTGAGAAGGCCGACGTAATGGATGATCTCAAGATTTGTCGCCCTGCACTAGTTTCATTTTATAAGGGTAAATAGATATGGATGCTAGTTGGGAGGAGAAAACACATTTGTTTTGACACGTCATTGTGATTCTGAGTTTTCAGAATCACAGATCTATTGACACAATGCCCTCAAGAGCGAGCTAAACATTGTTCCTGAACAATGCGATGAGTAAATCTTATTTATACCCTTTACTTACTGTGTAGCGTATACTAAACACTAGTGCTGTGTATATTGTATAGTCAGGAATATACACAGTCAATGCCGCATGATGTATATCCCAGTAAAAGAAATGGAAATTACTTTGACACCCCAACGTAGAGAGATACTCGTGATATGACTGTTAAAACACTCTTCCTAAAATTAAACAGGAGCTAGTTTACTGGTACGTGACAGCTACGTACCATTTAACATACGTCGTGAACTAATTAATCGCCCTTTTATTAACATATCTGTATGTTAATTCCCAACATATTACCATATTTATGTAAAATAACACCCCGCACATCAAGGTTGTTAAACTGAAAGCAGCAGCGACCTCCTTGTTTACCAATGGAATGTACGGGGATGCAGTGAGTAAGTACACGGAATGTGTAGACTCTTTGGATAGGAACAATCCTGGGTACTGGTATCATATCTCCCTCCTTCTTAGTAACCGGGCTGCCTGCAAGTTAAAGGTGGGTTATGGTAAACATTACATGTTTCATGTCTGCATAAGTATTTTCTTAAATCAAGCAAGATAGTTTTTAAACCTTTTACCTTGTTCCAATCTGACAGTTTCTCTTCGGAAGCTGCCATGGTATCTAACTCGAAACACACACCATCAGATCGGACAATGTACGGAATCTATCAAGGATTGTAACGATAGTTTGGTGTTAAACCCGGGTTTCTTCAAAAGTGTACTACGTCGAGCCATTGCTTTCGAGAATATCGAGAACTACAAGAAAGCGTACGAGGACTACAGACTTACTATACTTATGGATCCTAGTCAGGTTCGTGCTCTGTTTACAAGGGTCGGATTTAAGTTGGTCCAAGCAACTTGTCAACTCCATTGAAATACTTTCATGATTTAACGACCTAACCAGTTAACCAGTTAACATCACGTGTCCATATTTCCCACACTCTTCTTTCAGGTTACAGCTCAACAAGGTGTCAGCAGGACTAGTGAAATATTGAGGAAAGAGTTCGGTTCCAGCTGGCGGGACCACGTCACAAATCACGCTTCCTATCCTGAATCTCCTGAGTTCGTAGATCCGGGTAAGTAAAATAGCGGACTTTTTTAAATGTGCCAAATTTTGTCCAGTTTAACGAAACCTAAAGTTGGTCTATTAGTTTTTAACAATCGACAATCCTTTTCTCACTGTACACATCCCCAGCGAAACCACGAGCTCCTGTCCCAACTCCTACACCTGCTCAACCATCCAAACCAGAACCTGCAAAGAAACCTGCATCTTCTCCTTCGAAACCTGCAGAAAAGCCAACCCCAGTTAAGCCTGTGCCAGAGACCAAACCTGCAAAGCCCACGGAACCTGCCAAACCTGCAAAGCCCACGGAACCAGTAAAAACTGTTCCTAAAGCTGCTCCCAAAGCTACTCCTCAGGAGACTTCACCTCCTAAGAAAGCTGACTATAGGATGCCAACCAAGGAGGAGCAATATGCCAAGTTCAAGGACCAAGGTGGGTACTTTATACTTTACATTTTATATTGTAAATAGGGATCCTCACATATTAGGAGAAAAGGGTTGGGTAATGCTTACGCGAGTTTAATTTTTACGCAGTAAATACTTCATTGTCTAAAATGACTAACGTAGGGGGTCGAAGTCCCACATCCAGAAACACGCCTTCTTGCCAGGCAGCCTGGGAGGAAATTTTTTTTTGGGAGGAAAAACGGGAGAAGAAGAGGAAATTTTTGAGAAGTTACTCCTAAATTTCGAAATATTTTTTTGGAATAAAGACAAATTAATTGAGGAAATTTTTGAAGAAAATGTTTCAATTGTATAAAAATCAAAGAGGAACATCCCGTCAGTTTTGGAACACAGTGAAATATTCTGATTGGAGAATCCAGATTGCTGTTGTGAAGTTACCAAATTTACGTGAGTACTTGATTCTTTTCAATCCCAGTTTATTGCTGTCCTACAAATTTCTTTAATTTCTCTGCGCCCCCTAGCCCCCGCCAAGGGGCTCCGCCCCTGGACCCCGCTGGGGGCTGCGCCCCCAGACCCCAGCCACAGCTTGCTCGCTTCGCTCGCTGCACGGCTGGATTGGACACGTCGACTCGCCGACAGCACCCCCCCCCCCCCCCCCCCCCCCCCCCCCCAAACTTGCGAGCGAAGCGAGCGGGCCACAGAATTTAGAAAAAACGCATCTGGGAGGAAATATAAAACTTTCTGGATGTGGGGTCGAAGACTCGAAGTTGGTCAAAATCTGGCTTTCATTATTACGTAATATGTGAGCGATCCCAAACTGGCAAACAATAATGTGTATTGTATACGTTTTTATCGTGCATGAATATTAAAATTACCACAGTTTTTCATCATGCAAGTGTGAATATTAACCCTGTTTGTAATACTGGCTGCAATGTCTTGTTGTTAGATGGATTTAATATCTAACTTGGCAACTTTCCAGGTAATGCTCACGTATCCAAACAACAATATCGTGAAGCCCTGAGGTGTTACGACAAGTGTATCACACTAAACAAGGACATGGTACCAGCTCACCTTAACTCCGCACTCTGCCATCTTAAATTAGGTTAGTTGAGTTATTATCTTCATCTTAGTTGGTTTTTAACATGTTTTTAAAATGCTATCTTGGTAAGATATCAATAAATCATGTAAATGTCCGTCCCGTTATACTTCTGAGATGTAATAGTGCCAAGTACAGACTACAGAACATTTCATCGTTAGACCTTAAAATATTCTATCAAACATATTTCTTTCTTAAGGTTGCAGGTCTAAATCTTCATAAGATGCGCTTAAAACATTATAAATTCCTCTCAGGGAATCACAAGAAAGTGATGACTTGTGTGGACGAGGTTCTAAAGTTGGAACCTAACAACATAAAGGCACTTTACCGCCGAGCTGCGGCTAACAATGAGTTGAAGAAGTACCCTGCCGCTGCTAAAGATCTCAAGTTTGTCGTGGAGAAAGATCCGGGGAACAAACCCGCTGCTCAGCTTCTCGAACAGGTAGGGAGCGGGTTTACTGGTCGCAATTGAATCGCAGTTGTGACAGTTTTTGAAGCTTTATTAGGATGACATTCTTGTCGGAGTAGGAATGACAAGACAATAAGATACTTCTAAGCATTGATTAACTTTAAACCCAGGTTAAGAAGTTGTGGAGCCAAGAACTGCGAGGAATGCAATCCCAAAAAAGTGCCCCGCCACCACCCCAGCAGCAGCCTGCTCAGCAGAGAAAAAAGGGCAGGAAGATCCCCATAGTGCAGGATTCTGACTCTGAAGATTCTGAGGAGGAGGTTAAACCACAGAAACAGACAAAACCGGAGAGGCCGGTAAAGCCGGAACCGGTTAAGGAGCCTACTCCTAAACCTCAACCTGTACCTGAGAAAAAGGTAACCAGCACGCTCAACTGTAACCAGCCTGGCATATGCCACTGTTATTATGGTGACCATTACTTCTAACAAATGATCTAGGTATTCTCACCGTAAAACCTAGTCATTGTGCTCGTTATATTTGAGATAGGATTGCAAGAATTCCTAACCACTGTTTATTTACAGGCTGCTCCACAGATTGCAAAAGGAAATGATACGGTGAAAGGAAACAAACCTTGGATGAAGAAGAATAATACTAGTGGTTCTCATAATCAAACTGCTGAAGCCCCAACAGGTTTGTTGTCTGTCGATTTAAGGGCCTTTTTTAAATACCTCGAATTGTTGAATGGCGCTACTAAAATTTAAATCCATCGAGAAAGTTCCATTTTAATTCGTAACATTTCAGCCTTCTCATTCCTACAACACTGGTCTGCATACAAAAAGAAGAAAGATATCGAGCAGTTCGGGAAAGTTCTAGAATCTTGTGATCCACAGTCCTTCCCTAAAATATTTTCTAGCTCAATCGATGCGGACATGGTATGTTCTGTAACTTTTGTTATGTTAGATGAAAATGGGCTCTGAGATCACTTTCGAATTACGCCCTCTTCTAATTTTGTGTTCTTAGATTGGAGCACTCGATCTCACAGACCAATTTCAATCACAATAGTAGAAATCACACCTATTATGTTATACAAAATATATAGTGCTATATTAATAAACAATGTAGGTGTACAGTACATCAATAAACCTCGTGTTGTAACCGCAACTGTGTGCCGCTTAATGAGGGCGGTGCTGTTACGTGTAGTAATGATCTGTGTGAGTGTGTAATAAAAGTTAAAACGGTGGAGCTTTGTTAATCTGGAACTCAGCAGTATCTGCTTACATCCGGTCACACGTACGCAATGGACATGTTAACAATGGAGTATTCATCTAATTTAGCCTGTGAAATGAAAGACAACTCCATGAACTATCCATCTTACTGACAGTTCACTGAGATACTGAACCGAGACATGTTTAGATATTATTTAGAATGGATTATTCTCAATCTTGTGTATTATCATGTTAATATAGCATTTTACCAGGTTATAGCGATAGTTGATGCGGTGGACAAGTACTTTATACCGAGCCAACAACACCAGAAGGCTTTGGAGATACTGCAGGCAGTTACAAAGGTTCAGAGGTTAGTCCAGTGGAATCAAACTGCCGCCCCAGTTATAGCTGATGGCTGACTTCAGTTATAGCTGACTTCAGTTACAGCTGGCTCAAGTTATAGCTGACTTTATTTATAGCTAGATTCTTTAGAAACGGTACTACTGCAGTGATCAGCCTGTAACCTTACAAACACTGTTAAACTAATTAGTAAGAATTGGGCTACATCCGACTGTCATCGTGCAGCATTAATAATCGAATACCGGTCAACAGTTGCACTACATCAGTATTTCATTTCTATAGAATAATAAAATATAATCAGAAACTAATCCCTATCCACCCAGGTTTGACGTCATGACAATGCTGATGAGCCAGAAAGATAAGAGTACCATTTCTGATGTTATCAATCGATTGGAGGGAGACGAAAGGGTCATCAAATCTCTTCACAGCAGATTTTCTTAAGAATTAACGAATTTTTCGTAGATTAAGCCTATTTACTCTCAATCGTTTTGGTTTAAGTGTCTTTTCTTTTTCGGTCTGATATATAAATTGTCGAAGCAAGGTTCACGTTTTGAACCAGACAGCCAAGTTATTTGTATCTTTATGTTTGTATATAGTTTTACATTTTATTTTCAGTTCTCCATTATATCTGAGTTTTATTAGGTTCACTTAGAGGGATAAAAGGGGGTTGCTAACAAAGGTGGACGAAGGCTTGTGTGTATAATTGTGCTTCGTTATATTATGATATTCTGGGTCAGTGAATTACGTTCTCTCTATCATTACTCAATTGTGAATTAAGTTATCTCTATCATTACTTAGTTTGAAGTGTTTATGAACACTTGAGCTTCGGGTCCCCAGGTAAGCCACGCTCAAGTGTTGAGTGTGCGGCAACTTCATCCCCGTGTTGCCGCGAAGTGACGTGAAACAAAATATCGGGCGGTGTAATTTTATCCAAGCTTACACTTACAGTTACACGTTAACATTGAAAATCGGGGTCTTTGGCCTGCTTCTCTTGGAAAGAGTAGTAAAACTTTGATACATGTTTCGTATCCGCCTTCGGCGGCGCGCGCGAAAATTGGCATGCAACGTATGTCAAGTAAAACTGAGAACGGATGCCTCTATGCTCTACCATCTACGCGCATCCATTTCATTTCTACATACTATATCTCCATAAACAATAAAAAAGCACATCCTAAACCAGCTTTCAGATCTATGGTGTGTGCATGGTAACTACTTGGGGCGCTAAACCTGTCATTCCGCCATATTATCTATCACTATCAGTGATCATGTATCCATCTATCAGTGATCATGTATCCATTTGTCATACGTTGTATGACACGAAGTGCGCGGCTCCCCCTGTATAGTGAAGCGACAGTGGGGGTCACCACGTGATACAAGTATCCATCAGTGATCATGTATCCATCAGTGATCATGTATCCATCAGTGATCATGTATCCATCAGTGATCAGTGTGTTTATGTTTATGAACACATCACGCGACGCATAGAAGAGTGAAAAGGGGGATAGATCTAGAAGTGAAACGCAGAACGGGTGCGAACGGAATAAAAGGAATGGCGCGCTGAGTTGACCATTGTTAATGGTCTGGCCCGGCGCGCGCTACTTCGTAGCACTTGCCGTCGGGCATTTCGAGAAGAAAGCGGCGCGCGTTACTTCGAAGAAATTTAGACGAGTAACATCCGTCAACATCCGTCAATGTATATATAGTAGCATGGTATTACTCAAAATATGAAATATGCGACCTGTCTCAATGTGAAATTTAAACTTCAAACCTAATTTCTTGTGCATCGCACGTAATATAATATAAAATACTTGCAAATTAATCATCGAAACTAAAAACAAATTGTTATGATGTTTACTGGGCGGGACTCATCACTCGGCCTATCATTTCAACTGCACACCAATTTCTATGCGCGGCGCTCTTTTCAATCTAATCTTCTCGCAGAGCACAGAGAGAAGCGAGAAATATTGCTCTATCCAGAGCCCTTGCGCTTGCAGTAGCGCGCGCCCGCCTCACGTTTTTTGACTTGTGAAACAAGCGCGCCCGAAGTGGCGCGAAAGCACATGGTTAGGTGAACGAGAAATACACAATTAATAGTATAAATACAAAATAAACTCCACCGCATCTTTCATCGATCTAATCTGTCTATATTACTATCATTATTATGATTGATAAACCGACACGTTGTCAGTTGTATAGCATGAATTAAGAATTAGCATATACTAAATTGAAGAACCGTTGTATGCATTAATGATTGAAAACGATTAATCAGTACACAGTAACTGGGTAGTATTAGCTTTTTTTGGTATTTTTGCATACCATTTATCAATAATAAAATCCAAAAGTGGGTTTCTTAAAAGTTTTAATAATTAAACAGTGGAAAATAAATTGAGCCGCGCGAACGCCGCGCGCAGTCTACTAACGCTATTTTTACTATAACTCTCTCGATTTACTCCGCAAGACTGCCATACTATGTTGGATCACAGACACGTGACCCTTACTCACGCGGCGATGAAGGGTCATGTGATCAAAATCGAGTGAAATTATTCCATATAAGGAGATTTAACGTGTCACTCCCGTTGCCATCAATTGGCTGTAGAAAGCACGTGATGTCACATGACCGTGATATCACAGAGCACGGTCCATATTATAATTTGTTTACCTATGTCTTCAGTTAACGCAGCTCAGCAATGTTTCGTGTAAAATCTTGTCCTCCCGTCTGAGCTGTGTGGACAATTGTTAGTCGACCTTAGATTATGATGAAATATTAGCTGTTCCCAAAGTTCTCGGGGCCTCCCTCTCTTGTTACTTATTTCATGCAAGGTTAGAATGTAGTTAATTACGGCTTAGGATATCATCTACCTGTTAACTGTGACAGGATTGCGCAATATCAATTATTGCCTATTTTCTGGCACTAACGTTCATTATTTTCTGCTTATTTATGATTCAAGGAATTAGGAACCATAAACTTATCTGACGTAGTGTCACCGATCCGGTATCGGTTGCATGAACTGTACAAGCTAGTCCACGTACCAAGCCAGGAATAGCCCAATTCGTTAGTGTGTTTGTTTAATATAGTTGTAATCGAGGAGCCACGTATCATGATTATAATAGTTAAGTATGATTATTTTAGGCGTTACTCCACGCTTACGGTCGTAGCATGATAACGTTAGGTTCAAACCGAGTTTGTATTTTATACTTATCCTTATAGTCATATTAAAGACTTGCAGTACCGTTTCGTCAGTTTTATTTACTTTATTATCGTTGCTACATTCCGATTAACGTTCGAACCGACCTTCAGAATGTGAAATATCAGAAGAAAAGTGGTACGTATCGTATGTTCGTGTCGCCATTTTTTAGAACTCTCGACAATTTTGATAAAGGAGCACGTCGCTCCTCACGACGCATTCTCGCGCCGGTGCCGGCACTTCGCGCTGCTGTTTTTCCTTCGCTTACGAAATTTTGATGTTCCCGGATTTCGACTTTTTGACGGTCGCCTTTTTTTCTTGTTCTCTTCTGCGTCCAGCGAAAGAAAAGAAAATGAAGAGATGGGAAATGATACACGAAGAATTAAAAGGAACTCTTATCACTCTTGATAGCTAAGTGTACTGTTAGTGTGTAGTCTGTTTTCTGTCAAAAATTTGTCAAAACCATGTTATAAATAAGAAGTTGTAACCTAATTACATAGATTAGTTATGCTATGAGAAAAACTGTGTGGAATTAAACATATATCAAGCATTAAGCCTGAGAAGGCGTCAAATATCATCAAATAATACTCTGTATCAAGCAATTATCTAATTGGGTGCCAATTACTACTGGCTGGGACAAATTAGTCCAATAAGGGATAAGGGATATCAAGGATGTAACTGCCCACGCCATCTAATTAGGCAGCTCGGATTTCAGAGGCGACTCATTAGTAGAGGTATTTAACTCAGTACACGAGATGAAAATATTCACAATCCAAAATTTATCTTTGTTTGCTATGTTTCATTCGATTAGGCACGGATACTAATATCCTACCTATAGAGTATATTTAGCCTTAGTGTAGGTCCCAACGAATATTCCTCAGTTCTTTCCTGTCGAGCATCTTTTGTGTGCCCACTCTTACCAGTTCTTCAAACTATATGGAGACAGCAATCACAACGGGAACTGGTTTGACATGTCAACTCCCGCAATTCTCAATATTCGTAAGCCTTTCCTAATCTGTAAATAACTCAAAAGTCTCCATGCAGCACACGATTTTTGCCAAGAAATGTAACAAACTTAATCAGGTTGTTATTTAGTAATACTATTGAATATGAACAATTTTCTCCATCTTATTTTGTGGGCATGACTTGAGTTAAAGCATTTGCTACGTGATAATTAACGGTAGATTTCTGAGTAGATAATCATAGATTTCTGAGTGGACAAACATAGTGTCTGTTAGCATTTTAGAGGGGCGTTTAATGGGTATTTCAGATCATTTTTATAAATGAAAAGGAGACAGAAGTTGAGAGTTCTCAACGTAACTTTTCTGGGTTATATTTTCAAGTAAGGTATTGTTAGAGGGGTGCGGCTGGCTCAACAGCAGAAGTTGTAAACGACGAATAACCTTATCTCTGTATCTCAGTATTCGGTAACTAGATGTGGTATAAGGTAATCAGTTCGAGAGGTTTGGTAAATTAGTTCCTTTTCTACATCAATTCTTGGTCTTTTCGTCAGCAAAATCTTTTGGGTCAACCATATGATTAACTCTTGGAGGTTCTTACGGGATGTCGGTAAATTGTGTTATTTATGTAATCTGGTGTAAACAGTATTTCGTTTACCATCTTAAAATCGATATTATACTTATAAAGCCGATAAGCTTTTTAACTTTTCAGTCTACGGGGTTTATAGAATCTGTCGCTGGTTACGGGTATGTTGCTAAACATGAAATATCTTATGTTCAAATCTTTAAATGTTTGAGCCAAGCCATCAATTTTTCAAATTTCTTTTATAGAAAAGGGCCGAAAAGTTGAGAGTTCTCAACACTTTTTAACAGAAAATTTTATCTTAGTTTTATACCTGTCAACGCAAGTGCGGTGTTTACTGCTAGTATTGATAACCTGCTGCCGATTAAGCTTGGCTAGTTGTGTTTATATCGGGTTTCTTGGATGATTGATAACCGGTAGGCCGACCTTTCAAAGTGATCGTAATTGTAAATTTTAACTTTTTTCGAGAGATAAACCGATTCTGATACTCTGTTATAGAATTCTTATTCTTGGCAACTTTCTTCACGTCTCAATTTGTGGTGAATATTGGTGTAATACAATTGCAATGCATGATTTTGACAAGCAAGCTACTTTTAAATCAGTGTTAACATAAATTTGCTTTCAAGCAAGATTATTTCAGGTTCTTATTGGACTGTTGAAATTTTAATTATCCGGTTTGATCTGGAATATAATTTGTTTCAAGATAATGGCGAGTGATACAGAAATACTTTAAATAGTTGTAACTCAAATTGGAAAATGGATTACTTATTAATAATTGTAATGCTATGTTTTTGGCTCCAGAAGTGTAATTTTCTTGCGAATCTGAATGAATGCTTGAAATATCTTTTATTGTCTGTGGCCTTTTCCTGAGCTGCTGCACTAACAAGATTTCAGAACT